ATAAGGCGCGTGTGCTCGCCAGACAGAGAGAGACATAGAGACAGAAAGCGAGAAATCACCCCCCGGGGGGGATGGTCACGCTGCAATCCCTTCTCCTCTATTCTCCTCTCGGGATCTTGGGCACGCACGCACATGCGCCCGGCATGAGTTTTAAGCCACTGGGTTTGGGATGCGAACCGTGGTTGACTACGTGGGAGTCCAGTGACATAGCCATTATGCTAACTGCTGGTTCCCCCCAGTGTGAGTTTTAAGCTGCCAGGTCCAGAACTTGAACCACGGTCAACCATGTGTGAGTCCAGCGACGTAACCATTACACCATCTGCTGGTCCCTTATCATAAAATTTCTGAAATTCTTATTTTGTTTCATACTTAGTGGAAATTTAACAACTTTTATTGTTTGAAGTGTGATATTTTTCTTTCCGACCTCTTGCAAAAAAAAAGAAGTGGGAGGGGGCGGCAAGTGGCATGGTGGTTAAGGACACTGGTGGCAGATCTCAATTTGACTTCTGTGTCCGGGTTACCCGCACTTAGGGGGCCTCTTGCTGGAGTGGTAAGGAATTCCTGCAGTTCACTTGTCTGCACAGAGGTGGAGCTGTGCCCGGCAGTCATCTCCACTGCCCTTCAGGAACTCCATAAATGTGTGGCCAAGAACACCACAAAACTGAGGAATATGTTTGCTCACTGAAGATTGTGGCCCAATCATACAGCTGGTCCAGCGCTGGCAGTGACACAGGCGGTGGTAGTGGCAGCGGCTACAGGCTACAGGGTGGCGGTGGTCGTCATGGGGCGGTGGTGGCAGCAAATGGATGATTAGTTTTTCTGCAGGTGAGCTGCTTGAGTCCCTTACATATTCTGGCTATCAATACCTTATCTGAAGCACAGTTTGCAAATATTTCGAAAACTATACTGCAAATACATTGCAAATATCCACTCTGGGTTGTCTCTACTCACTGTTTTCTTTGCAAAGTGGAAGCTTTTTAGCTTGCAACAATCCCACTTGTCTATTTTTGGATCTGTTGCCTGCACTTTAGGAAATCTTTGCCCACTCTAATGTCTTCAAGTGTTTCCTCATGTTTTTCGCAAGTAATTTTATAACTTGAGGCTTCACATTTAGCTCTTTGATCCATTTCGAGTTAATTTTTGTTAAAGGTGAAAGATCAGGGTCTACTTTCATTTTTCTGCAGGTGAATATCAGTTTTCTCAGCATCATTTGTTAAAAAGATTTTCTTCTTTGGGCCAGTAGGTGGCATGGTGGTTAAGGTGCTGGACTCTTATATGACCAACGTGGTTTGAGTCCCAGATCCAGTGGCTTGAAACCAAGACTGGGTGCATATTCATGTGTGTCCAAAATCCTGAGAGGAGAATGGAGGAAAAGGGATTGCGGCATGGCCATTCTCCCTGGGAGGGTGATTTCTCACTTTCTCTCTCTATGTGTCTGTGTCTATTTCTCTCTGGTGAGCACATGCATCATATGGAGAAAAAAAAAAAAAAGACTTTCTCTTTTTGGTTCGTACCAGTTTCCCTTAATATCTTGCACTGCTCTCGTCACGCTTGGGACCTGGACGAGAGCATGGCCCCTGTGAGTCATGGCAATGAAGGCTGTGATAATGGGTCAGTTTGGGTAATGGCACACATCACAGGATTGAAGATCAGCACTGATACTATGATCACCACTGGAAGATAATACACAAGGATGCACCAGCACTGGTCCTTACTTTCTGTTTTGTTTTTTTTTTTTTTTTTTTTGAGTGCTTTTTGTTATAGGGCGCTCGCCAGACAGGCAGAGAGACAGAGAGACAGAAAGAGAGAAATCACCCCCCGGGGGGATGGCCATGCTGCAATCCCTTCTCCTCCATTCTCCCCTCAGGATCTTGGGCACGCACGCACACGCGCCCAGCATGAGTTTTAAGCCACCGGGTCTGGGACTTGAACCGCGGTTGACTACATGGGAGTCCAGCGACATAGCCATTACGCCAACTGCTGGTCCCCTTACTTTCATCCTGAATCCAAAACACATGATAGGCCAAATGAGGAGAGGCATGTTGGATACTGATGCGATGTGAATGCAGGCAAAGACGGTGTGGTCAAAGTCTACAGAGGATTTTGTGATCTCACTTTCAGGAGCCCATTTCACCATTAGCCACACAATGGTGGTCTGTGAAAAACCAGATGACTTTGGCAAAATTGGAAATGAAAAAAATACAAAGATGAGAAATCCTGAAAGTCATCTAGCTTGTAGTATAATTGGGGTTGTCCAATAAACGTTTCCTAGGATGCAGTGGTTTGAGTCCAGAAACTCATCTGTTATCCTGCTAGCTGTAGAAATTTAACTTGAAAAGCATTAAACACTATCACTTAAAAAGAAAGAAAGAAAGAAAAACAAACACCAAAAGACTTTCTTTTCTTCACTGAGTGGTCTTGTGTCCTTCGTCAAAAATCGGTTGATCTGGCCAGCTTGAAGCACAGTAGTTAAGACAGCTGGATCCCACATGGCCAGCCATGCAGTTAGAGTCCTGGACTTGATGGCTTGAAAACATGCCAGGCACATGTGCATGTGTGCTCAAATCTCAAAAAAAAAAAAAAGAAAAAAGAAAAGAGAAAAAAAAGAATGGAGAAGGGATTGTGGCATGGCCATCTTCCTGGGGGGCAGGGTGTTATCTCACTTTCTCTCTCTCTGGCGAGTGCACACACTGTATAGCAAAAACTAAATCAGCTGGCTTTATGTTTTGGGAGTTTATCTCTGGATTCTCTATGCTGTTCCATTGGCCTATGTGTCCGTTCTTTGTACCAGTACCATGTGGTTTTGATTATCAGTGTTTTGTAATATATTTTCGGGCTGGGTGGTAAAATGCCTCCAACTTTTTTTTCTTTTTCATTTTTTTTCCAGAAGGTATGTGTGCTCCCCAGAGCAGGGAAGGGAGGAGAGAGAAAGCATTCCCTGCCCCCACCATGGGGAGTGGTCATGCTACATCTTTTCTATTCCATTTCTCCACCCCATCAAGATTTGGGGCCTACATGCACATACTCCTGAAATATTTTCAAGCCACTGGGTCTGGGACTCAAATCACAGGATCAGCCCTGTGGGATCCGGCTGCCAAACACCATGCTGTTGAGCTGGCCCAT